AGATGGAGTCTTGGACTGCCACCCTGGCTTGAAGTGCAGTGGGGCGATCTCACCTCACTGCAATCTCCGCCTCCTGGGTTCAAGCAATTCTCCTGCCTCAGCCTCCTGAGTAGCTGAGTACCACTCCCGGCCAATTTTTATTTTTTTATTTTTAGTAGAGACGGGATTTCACCATGTTGGCCAGGATGGTCTTGATCTCCTGACCTCGTGATCCACCCACTTCAGCCTCCCGCAGTGCTGGGATTACAGGGGTGAGCCACCGTGCCGGGCCCCTCAATTTCTTTATCTATAACATGACAGCCTGCCTCATAGAGATGTTGAGTCTTAAATGTACTGAATAAAAGCGTTATGATTACTACAAAGTTTTCCGTATTTCTTTGACCCCTTACTCCATCATAAAACCTTGAACATACCCCAATATTCCCAACTCAGTTTATGCTTCTCGCTTTAATTCTCAGAATATATTTCTTCCCAAATTTCGTCTTCTTTTTTTTTTTGAGATAGAGTCTCACTCTGTCGCCCAAGCCAGTCTGGAATATAGCAGCTCAATCTTGGCTCACTGCAAACTCCACCTCCTGAGTTCAACAGATTCTCCTGCCTCAACCTCCTGAGTAGCTGGGGTTACAGGCGTAAGCCACCACGCTCAGCTAATTTTTGTACTTTTAGTAGAGACGGAGTTTCACCATGTTGGCCAGGATGGTCTGGAACTCCTGACCTCAGGTGATCCATCTACCTCGGCCTCCCAAAGTGCTGGGATTACAGGTGTGGGCTCTTTAACTACTTTTTAACACTCAAAAGTGATAAAAAGAAAAATATACTCCTGGTTGGGCATGGTAGCTCAACCTGGTTGGGCATGTAACCTCAGCACTTTGGGAGGCAAAGGAGGGGAATCAGCTGAGATCAGGAGTTTGAGATGAGGCTGCCAACAGGGTAAAACTCTGCCTCTACTAAAAATACAAAAATCAGCTAGGTGTGGTGGTGGGCGCCTGTAATCCCAGCTACTCAGGAGAGTAAGGCAGGAGAATCACTTGAACCCAGGAGGTGGAGGTTGGAGTGAGCTGAGATCTCGCCATTGCACTCTAGTCTGAATGACAGAGGAAGACTCCTTCTCTCAAAAGCAAACAAACAAAAAAAGCAAGCTTACTAAGATGGTGGCATTTCCTTCATTTTGAAAGCTAACACAGCTTATTAAGAATGTTTCCAGGGCCAGTAGCAGTGGCTCATGACTGTAATCCCAGCACTTTGGGAGGTCGAGGCAGGTGAATCACCTGAGGTCAGGAGTTCAAGGCCAGCCTGGCCAATAGGGTAAAACCCCACCTCTACCAAAAACACAAAAATTAGCTGGGCATGGTGGCGGGCACCTGTAATCCCAGCTGCTCAGGAAGCTGAGGCAGGAGAATAGCTTGAACACAGGAGGTGAAAGTTGCAGTGAGCAAAGATTCTACCACTGCACTGCAGCCTGGATGACAACAGCAAAACTGTCTCAAGAAAAAAAAAAAAAAGGAATGTTTCCAGAGTATCATTTCTAAACAATGGCCGAGCTCTCCTAAAAGCAACATATGCCATGACTAAACACAGGGAAGAGAAAATAAGTCTTCATTAACTTTTATAAACCACATACCCTGCTGCCAGTATGTCTTCTCCGGTTAGACATTGGAGAATGGCTTCGGCTCCTTCGCCGCCGGTATTCTGGTGTATATGATCTACTTCGAGATCGTCTCCTATGAGAGTGAGAGTGGGATCTGGATCGAGTGTAACGTCTATGAGAATGCCTCCTTGACCTTGACCTTTGAGAGAAATACATTTAGGTAAAAATACTGAAACAAAATGGCTAATGTCCTTCCCTCTTCCAAGGAGGTATACGTATAACCCTACGTATTCTCAGGTCCTTCCTCATTTCTAAGGAAAGAGTATTCTTCCTCTTCTTCACTACCCTTAAGTCACAACATCTTCCACTCTGCTCTCAGTCAAGCCCCTCCACATTCACCCTTTTCATCTTACCTTCCAAAAATTTTAAGGCCCCATTTTCTTTAAAAAGGGGGAAAACCATCCCAACCACTGTTATTAAATAAAATCCTTTGATTCTTAGCTAAGCGCAGTGGCATGTACTTATGTTTCCAGCTACTTGGAAAGATAACCAAGAAAATCATCTGAGCCCAGGAGGACAAGTCCAGCGCAGGCAACATAGCGAGATTCCACACCTCCATTAAAAAAAACTAAAAAACAGGCCGGGCACAGTGGCACACGCCTGTAATCCCAGCACTTTTGGAGGCCAAGGCAGGCAGATCATGAGGTCAGGAGATTAAGACCAGTCTCTACTAAAAATACAAAAATTGGCCAGGCATGGTGGCGTGTGCCAGTAGTCACAGCTACCTGGGAGGCTGAGGCAGGATAATCGCTTGAACCCGGGAGTTGGAGGTTGCAGTGAGCCAAGACTGCACTCTAGCTTGGGTGACAAAGCGAGACTCTGTCTCAAAAACAGACAAACAACCACAAAAACACAAAATTCTTTTTGATTTCCTACTACCTTCTACATATAGTTTTTTTTTTTTTGAGGCAGGGTCTTGACCTGTTGCCCAGGCTGGAATGCAGTGGCATGATCTCAGCTCACTGCAACCTCTTGTCTCCTGGGCTCAATCAATTCTCCCACCTCAGATTCCCAGACAGCTAGGACTACAGGCATGCACTACCACACCTGGCTATATACACACATATATATAGTAGAGATAAGGTTTCACTATGTTGCTTAGGCTGGTCTTGAACGCCTGGGTTTAAGCAATTTGCCCACCTTGGACTCTCCAAGTGCCGGAATTACAGGCGTGAGCCACGTGCCAGATCAATTTTTGTATTTTTAGTAGAATCAGAATTTCACCAAGTTGCCCAGGCTGCTCTTGAACTCCTGACCTCAAATGATCCACCCACCTTGGCCTCCCAAAGTTCTGAGATGATAGGTGTGAGCCATTGCACCCAACCCTTAAAACTTTTATCCTACCTAAAAACAAACAAACAAAAAAAACAAAAAAGGCTGGACGTGGTGGCTCACACCTGTAATCCAAGCACTTTGGAAGCCAAGGTGGGCGGATCACCTGAGGTCGGGAGTTCAAGACCAGTCTGACCAACGTGGTGAAACCCCATCTTAAAAAACAAAAAACAAACAAACAAAAAACAACTTTTATCCTACCCCAGTACACCTGGGACATTTGACAGTGAACTTTGCATTGGTTCACTATAGTGTTTTTGCTGTCCGTGATGGTGGGGCTCTGAATCAGCTGAGGACTTTTCTGCCCAATTACATCTGACCAGAGCTCTACCCCGGACACAGAGTCAGAATCTTCAGATAAAAATGTAGCTGGGCTTTTCAGTCGGGCGCTGAGTGGGTTTATCGGATCATGTCTGGTGGCTCCGCAGATTATAACAGAGAACATGGCGGCCCAGAGGGAATGGACCCCGATGGTGTCATCGAGAGCAACTGGAATGAGATTGTTGATAACTTTGATATGAATTTAAAGGAGTCTCTTCTTCGGGGCATCTATGCTTACGGTTTTGAGAAGCCTTCCACTATTCAGCAGAGAGCTATTATTCCCTGTATTAAAGGGTATGATGTGATTGCTCAAGCTCAGTTAGGTACTGGCAAGACAGCCACATTTGCTATTTTCATCCTGCATTAGTTGGAGATTGAGTTCAAGGAGACCCAAGCACTAGTACTGGCCCCCACCAGGGAACTGGCTCAACAGATCCAAAAGGTAATTCTGGCACTTGGAGACTATATGGGAGCAACTTGCCATGCCTGCATTGGTAGAACAAATGTTTGAAATGAAATGCAAAAACTGCAGGCCGAAGCACCACATATTGTTGTTGGTACATCTGGGAGAGTGTTTGATATGTTAAACAGAAGATATCTTTCTCCAAAATGGATCAAAATGTTTGTTTTGGACGAAGCAGATGAAATGTTGAGTCGTGGGTTTAAGGATCAAATCTATGAGATTTTCCAAAAACTAAATACAAGTATTCAGGTTGTGTTGCTTTCTGCCACAATGCCAACTGATGTGTTGGAAGTGACCAAAAAATTCATGAGAGATCCAATTCGAATTCTGGTGAAAAAGGAAGAATTGCCGGGCGCGGTGGCTCACGCCTGTAATCCCAGCACTTTGGGAGGCCGAGGCAGGTGGATCACGAGGTCAAGAGATCGAGACCATCCTGGTCAACATGGTGAAACCCCGTCTCTACTA